TTTTTTTTTTTTTTCCTATATATTTATACAGATGTAGGGAAGTTAAGTGAAGGCCGTGCATTCTTTACAGACTAAGGAATAGCTGATGGATGCAAAATCACGTTTTCCAGTGAATGGGTGTTGGGAACCACTCACTTCCTGAGCGTTGTTAGGTGGCCATGTGGTTCTGCAATGCTCTGAAAACATTTTACAGAAAATGCACTTTTCACAAATCTTTTCAAGGGTGCTAGTGACCTAGTCTGTCTTAGTAACTGCAGATGTTTCCTCTAAATACCGTTTTGTCCATTTTGTGACGTGATTGTCAAATGTTTGCCATCCCTAACTCAGTATGTTCTTGTCTGGTGCACTGGCGATAAAAGAAGTTGAAGCATTCTTTGTTGCTGTCGCATGTTGTTAATGGTAGAGCCAACTAACACTGTATTTTCAGCTATCGTGGGGCAGTTGTGTCCTTTTTCCCCCCTCCTCCCTTTGTAATTGAGGAATTTAAAGTGAACTGATCTGCAAAGCAGCCGGATTTGAACAGGGCTCGATGACTGTTTTTTCTAGGCTGTGGTGCCAGAAATTAGATTTTCAAGAGAAAGTCTAATAAACTACAGACTGTTGAGCTGATGTGATAATTATTTCTGCACCTGGATATCAATTCAACTGCCTATCCTTATTCATTAAGCACATACTTTATTCCAATTAGCCTCAACAGTATGTAAGTGCTTGCTCGTGTGGTTCGCTAAACCTGAAAGATTTTAAGCATATGCTTAAATACTTTGCTGAATTGGGACCTTGGGTTTTTTGAAGAGATTTTTTTTTTTTTTGAGAGAGATATTTAATAAGGCCTATGTAAATGTTTATTTTTAAATCCTTTTTTGGGGGGATTGCAATAGCTGGTAATGGTGTCATTTCCAAAGACTTTCTTTGATATTAGATTTAAAATGCAGCTATCATCTAACCTGATAGTACCTAAAATGAGGGAAATCCAGGTATATTCTTGAAGTTATTTCCGTGTCAAATATGCTCAGCTGACAAGTCATGACGTAGCTTTTCTCTTTGTCAGCCCTGCAGATTCAGTCTAGCCTTTTCCTTCATAGCAGCTAGCTTCTGCAGCTCAGCCTTGCAGTCTCCAGGCAATAGATTTTGACTTCCCTGGCACCTTTGTGGCAGTATCAAGAGAGACATAAGGAGGCGAATGTTCAGGTAGCTGGAACTAAGGTCATAGTCCAGCAGGCTGTCTTTCAGGAGTGGGCTTGAATCACACTGAAAAGACCTGGAGACAGCTGCTATTTTTGTAGCACCTATTCAATGGATAGAAGATTTTCCCAAGGTGGTTATTCCATTGTGAAAATAAATTGCTGAACCATATATTTTATATTGCTCAAAGAGAATGTTTTGTTTTGCGTCCCCCCCCCCCCCCCAAAAAAAAAAAAAAAAAAA